GGAGTGCCTGTCTCTTTAAATGCAAATGAGACACAGGCAATCCACCCTATAAGAGGGTCTCAAAAATCCATCCAAAGTTTTTAAATGAGCAGGAAAGAGACTCAAATTACCTGAAAAGTTTGAAAAATTCAAGAAAAAAGACACAGTTTGTCTCCAAAAGGACACAAATTCATTAAAAAAAAATAATACAAATGAAGTACTCAGACCAAAGAGGAACAGAAAGGAGGAAAAAGTCTAAAGCATCTCTGTCCCAGAGCCTCATGGGAAATGTTTTTAGTTGATAATTAATGCGAATAAAATCCTTCAGACAAATTAGTTTTATTGAATTGAATTAAAAGTCTTTAATTTTACATTTAGGTCTGAATCTGTCCCCTTTCCCGTCTCGTTGCAGCTGTATAAAATCCCCCCCCAGGAAGAGGAGTGTGGGACTCTGCTGGACGCGGTTGTTTGCAGAATGGCCATAAAAGACGTCATGTAGTGGTCCTTTTGTTAAATAAAGTGTTTTCTATATATATATATATATGTGTTTAAAACTACCCCAAATGTTTGAGTTTCATTCAGGGCAAACCAGAGCTGATTCTGGAGGAGAAAAGCAGGAATTCAACGTTTAAATTTGAGATATTCTCATTTATTTTGAGTTCTGTCGGCAGTTTATCTGATTCTCAAGTTAATTTATGAAGAATATTTCAGCTTTTTGTGGCAAAACTAACAAGTTTTTATTATTTTGATGTAAAATGAGCTCATTTTTTAGCGGGATTCTTTATTGAACTGATCAAACAGACACTTTGATGGGATCTAATCCCTTTTATTGTCCTCTCAGGTCTGTTTGACTGAACAAAAAGTCTAAAATGACCCAAAATGTTTGAGTTTCAGCTCCTGAACTCCTGATTCTGCTTCTGTCTGAACATCTGCTGAACAGAGATCATTCAGGGGAAACCAGAGCTTATTCTGGAGGAAAAAAGCAGGAATTCACAGTTTAAATTGGAGATATTTTTATTTATTTTGATTTCTTTCAGTCATTTATCTGATTCTTTCAGCTTCTGGTGTAAAAACTGAGGTCTTTCCATCGTTTCAGTGTAAAATCAGCTCCTGTTTTCAGAGGATTCTTCATCAAACTGAGCAGTGAGACGCTCATTTTTTCTGTTTTTGGTCTGAAATCAACTTATTAAATCGGCTCTTTTAGTGAAAATCAGAGCTGATTCTGGAGGGAAAAGGCAGAAATTGGAGTTTAAATTTGAGCTATACTGATTCATTTGTATTTCTTTTAGTAATTTAAAGTTTAAATTTGAGATATTTAGATGTATTTTTATTTATTTTAGTAATTTAAGTGATTCTTTCAGCTTCTGGTGTAAAAACTGAGTACTTTCCATCATTTTAGTGTAAAATCAGCTCCTGTTTTCAGAGGATTCTTCATCAAACTGAGCAGTGAGACACTCA